AGATCCTAGATCCTAGATTCCATACACTAGATACTAGACCCCATGTACTAGATCCAAGATCCTAGATTCTATGCACTAAATCATAGTTCCTGGATTCTATGCACTAGATCATAGATCCTAGATCCTAGATACTAGATACTATATCCTAGATCTTAGATACTAGATCCTAGATTCTAGATCCTAGATCCTAGATCCTAGATCCTAGATACTAGATACTATATCCTATATCCTAGATCCTAGATCCTAGATCCTAGATCCTAGATCCTAGATCCTAGATCCTAGATCCTAGATCCTAGATCCTAGATTCTAGATCCTAGATTCTAGATCCTAGATCCTAGATTCTAGATCCTAGATTCTAGATCCTAGATCCTAGATCCTAGATCCTAGATCCTAGGTCCTAAATCCTAATCCTAGATCCTAGATCCTGGATCCTAGATCCTAGATCCTAGATCCTAGATCCAAGATCCTAGATCCTAGGCCCTAGATTTTAGATATTATGCACTAGATCCTAGATTCTAGATTTTAGATACTATGCAAATCCTAGATCCTAGATCCTAGAGTTTACAGGAAAGTATCCTGCTCTAGACAATGGACTAATATTTGATACTAATAAACCAAGTTGCTCCCGGTTTGTTTGTTGAAAATACCTTTAATTCCATCATGTGGTTTAAACATAACTATAGGGAAGACAAGGTTAAGACATTACACGTTTTGTTTAACAATAAGATAATCTATACTTGGCAGGGGCGTACACAGGTATATATTTATATTCCAGGGGGAGNACTTCTAGTTATCTGTCTAAAAATTAATCATATCACCTAACTTATTGTCCTACTATATCTATTTATAAAATATATATTTTTTTTTTTCTAACAAAGTATATTTCTTTCTTTCGATCTATCTATCTATCTATCTATCTGTCAAGGAAGTAAGTTTTCTTGAATATTTAAAAATGTCTAGAATATGCATTTTGTATTCTGTATTTATTCTATTCTATTTACACATTTTTGAAAATATTAAATTTACGTGTTCAAGGTTTATGGAAATGAAATTTCTGCAGATATATAATGACATATCTACATTTTTTCTAAATACTTTAAAGTATTCTTTTACATAAATTCCATGTTTAATGAAAAACTTCATGAGCGAAAAGTTCGCCAAATCTTAAGTTAGGATTTATTGTTTTTTTTATTTTCTTTACAAATTCATAAGGTTAAAATATGTTTTTTGATAATTTGAAAAATAAAAAGTCCAGGCTAGTTTTGAAATATAAACGAAAAGTTACTTTTTCATCCATTACGTGACAGTAATGTTTTTAATGCCTCTTCTCCTGGGGCGTGACGAAAAATATGGTTGTAAAATTATATATATTATTAGCAGTACAATAATAAATTTTCAGCTTTCTCATTCAAAATGCAAAAATGATTTGCATAAATGTTTTTGTTCGATGTAAATACCCTGAAAACCCCTCTTGGCCTCTTTCATGGGAAGAGTTCCCATTTCAGGCCTCTTGCATCAAAGAGTTCATAAAACAAAGTTTTTATTTTTTAACCTTTAAAACGTGTTTACTGTTCATAATCGAACTCTTTGGAGTTTATTTTATAGGACTGAACCCCCTTGAATATAACCAGGGCAAGATGTTTCTTTAATTTGAATTCAATCGGAGTTTTGAACTATATTTTTACAAACTTTAAACGGAGTTTTCTTGTTCACCCTCAACTGAGCTTGTGGTGTGTACTGCAGTGATTTCCAGTACACACACCGAAGAAATTGGATTTAGTGGAGAGTTTGTTAAACTTTTTCATTTAAAACACATTTAAAAAGAAGTAAAACAAAGAAATGACGGAAAATTATGTTCTTAGGTCAAATTGGGATCGAAAGTCACAACTAGTTTACCGAACTTTTAAACTAGCCCAAGTTAGCGAAAAATAAAAATCTTTAGGATAGACCATTATAAAGATTTAGTTTTTTCTGTCCAATGTTTTATGCAAACTCTCATCTGTTTTAACAGTGCTAACATGTCTGATGTGTTTTGTTAAATGTTACTTTTTTTTAGATTTATGAAATCATTAATAATGGCATATATTTAAAAAAAGAGGAATAAGTACAATTTCATATTAAACAAATATATCTGCCTAGTTACAATGCTGCCCCCCCCCCTTACTCCTTATGACATTTATGCGCGCATTGATGACGACAAAAGCGCGCCTAATGACAGCGCACATTTTGTCCATTTTTATATAGTTTACAAATTAATTTTTTCTTTCGCTCTTTTGTTCGGAATGCATTGTTTGTACCTGGTAGTTAAATAACAATAGATAAACATCTCACAAAATTGTTATTTTTTAACACCCTCCCCCCCCCTCTCCCTCCCCCTACTGTTGGCAAACAACAATATTATAAATATTAAGATGGGTCATGAGAACTGTCTTTGTTAAAACGTTCTATTTTGTCCTTTTGTCCTTGGTTGCAATTTGTTTACGAAGAATGTCCTGTTTTCACAATTTATTTGCGTAAAATATCCTATTTACGCATTTTTTTGCGCAACATCTTTGCCATGCCAATATGCAAAAAAGAATACATCGTTATCATATTTTCATGCGAAATTAAGTATGGGGTACCTTACGTAATTGAATATTGAATAACTTCTTTTTCTCCTTTTCCGCTTAAAAACAACCAAGGTTATAATGCAAGGAAAGTTAATTGCAGATGTGTATACTCTGCGTACATATTGAAACGAATTCTCTCTGGGCGGAATTTGTAAACAATAATAGATGCATCAGTGTTCGTTTAGTATCCGAGGAGGTTAAAAGCATTTTGATAATTTGATAATTTACGTTATAGTTTCCTATGACCAGAATATTTCATTGATTTTTTATGTGAAAGATTGATCCCATGTCAGGCTTCGACATCTGTCTTGTTTAAATTACCGCCCAGAGACAGTACACTGCAGTAAAAAGATGCATACACCTCAGAAATAACTTTCCTTACATTATAAACTTGGTGTGAGCTAGATATATATATGTATGTATGAATATATATGAATAATATATCTACATAAATATATTTGTCTTCATAAAATAGTAGAATATATCTACTGGATACCCCAGCTAGCAGTGTATAAAACAGTAGAATATATCTACTGGATACCCCAGCTAGCAATGTATAAAACAGTAGAATATCTACTGGATACCCCAGCTAGCAATGTATTAAACAGTAGAATATATCTACTGGATACCCCAGCTATAGCAATGAATAAAACAGTAGAATATCTACTGGATACCCCAGCTAGCAATGTATTAAACAGTAGAATTTTGCGAACTGAATATCAACGATTTCCAATAACATCTTCCTGTAAAATGTAAAATCAAATAACAAATCTTATTCTTCCCTACAGACAAAATATGCTTTAATTAGGTTAATGGTCATCAAACACAGAAATTGGTCTGTGTTCTCGAACCCATTTCGCTTGATTGAGATTTGATTGAAATTTTTAAGCTGCTGTAAAACTATATGATTTTTAACAACATCAGATACACAAAACATTACTTAAATTTCAAATTTTCATCTAACAAAATTTGCTGGAGCACCGGCATCAAATTCACCAAAATCATTCAATAAAATTTGACATATGATTCTGCTCAGGTGAATTTGATGCCAATGGTCCAACAAATTTAGAAATTTCAAATTTCTACAGTTAAACCCTAAATAAGCCATACATCGAAAGAATTCATTAAATGTCGTATTCTTCACTTTCTGATATTTATTTTTGCAAATACTGAGATTTACGTAAAATAGTATAAAACCCATTGAAAAATTGTTAAGACGAAATGGGATAAATTTATGTTTATACTTTGTGTTGAAAATACGGAAATATGTATTCTAGTGCCCAATGGGCAAATACAGACAGTTTAAAGTGTTTTTGTTTGTCTTAAATCATTCCTGTTAAGGAAATAAATATTAAAAGATTCAGTTTTCAATATTGCATAAAATAAACAATGAACACCATGGGAACTAAAACGTGCCTTCTTATGATTCACTGTATAAAATCTACCAAAATGCCCAATGACAATCTTTACAATTATGGACTTGGATTAACTAGTACTATTTTGCGAGCTCTTAACTCTTCTTATTTTCTTTCAACCCCAAGAGTGAGTAAAAATAAATTGACTGGTTGCATATAAGAATTTCAATACTGCAGCAAAGTCAATATCTTCATTTTTTAACAATACCTTGTTTTGAAAAAGGAAGATTTCAATCTATATAGATATCTAGGTTTAGTTAAATGTGCAATGGTATGATATTCAGTTTCTTAAAAACATAAGGCTTCATGTGTACAATTTGTTTATAAAATGTTAACTATTTATAAAAATAATTTTCAGTATTCGCATTTGTTTACATGTTCTCTGTAAAGAATAAAAAATAGTATTCATGAATAATAATATTAGACTGGAATATTAAAATGGCCGCCGTGAAGCGGGAAAAATAAAATCCGCGAAAACCACGTGTCATCATCCCGATAATCATTGAACAGCTGACGGATGATACACTTTCAAGTCATTCTTGTTTGTTTATCCAGCACAGATTTAAAGGGAATGTATTCGAATTCTGTTGAGGACAAAGGAATAAATTAGTTTATGGGTATTTTGAGATACAGAATCGTGACAGTGCTTGTATTAGACCGGGTGATGATTGCTAAAAAATTCCTGTAATAACAAACAACTTGCTCTTGTTTATTGTTTATTGTTTATTGGCATAAAATTGTTTATAGTTATCAAACCTCTTTGTTGATGATATTGTATATAGATACCCTGAACTAACCAGAGGGAGAAGCATTCGGTTCTTTTATTGAAATTCAATCACATATAGAAATTTCCACTAAAAAGGCAGAAAACGATTGGAAAATCCCAGTATGCTACTGATCTTATTGCCGCGTAGGTCAAAGACGAGTTTAAAGTTTTACCACAATTACTTTTATTTTGAAAAAAATCTAAACTATATAATACTAATTTCAGAAAGAAATGTCCGCTTGATAAATTCCGAAGAAGAAGTTCCGGAATTGAAAACCAGAAAAATGAAAAGAAATAATTTTATTTCCTTTCTCTTCCTCTTCTCTCTCCTGCACAACAGGCAAAACCAGTCTTTCTTTAAAAATAAATATTTCAAAAATCAAAACCTCATTTTTTTTTTTTTTCAATAGATAATTGATGCATGAATCTTAACGATCTTGAACGATCTTTTAACGATAAAAATGATTGCAAACAGTAAATAGTGCCCAAAGGTTAAAAAAAATTAAAAGTAATGCCATAGTGAATGAACTTTAAAAAAAGACACAGATTATTAAGATAAAATAAAACCAAGCTCAGAACATTACTTTTAAGTTCTACATTCAAAAAGGCAAGTCGGTCCAGGGGTTCTTGAGTTATGATCGGACATCCAAACAAAAACAAAAACAGAGATTACAACTTTATATACGTATATAGATAATGTTATCAACTTATGCAGTATGAAAAAGGAACTGTTCAAGTAATTTCAAGTTGCCCTCCATTTTAAGAGTGACATTTATGATCACAGAGAAACTTAATTAGAAAATGATCAATTTTCTTGTAGAAAACGAATGATATCTTAATCGTCTTTGATTATAAACGTTTAACGGTTTAAAGGGTATCGTTGTGAATAAAACATTCCACTCAATAAATAAAGTGTCACTTGTAATTACGTTTAATATTGCAAGGTTATGATAGAACACAAAGCAACAACTACGTATCCTGTCCTATCAGTGTGATCTCTGAAAAAAGATTTATCTTTACTTAGCTCCAGTAAACAGATAAATGGTATTGGCAGGTTTCTGCAGTAATCAGAACCGTTCTAATAAACTGATTTTTAACATGAACAAATCCAGTTTTGGGATCCTTTACAAGTTTTAATCTTTAGCTGGCAAATTAATGGCTTCTTCTCATTAAATATTCTTTTGTTCTCGCGGACAATATTCATTCTTTGTTTTTCTTTTCTGTTCTCCTTTACTGTTTTCTTACTTTCTTCTGTTTATATATTATACTGTTTTTTGTTTGTTATACTGTTCTTCTTTAATTCCGTTTCTCCAGTTTCTGGTTCTCCTGTTTCTGGTCCTCCAGGTCTCTTTTCCTGGTTCTTCAGTATACACATATCCTGTTTCCTTGCTTCTGGTTCTCCAGATCTCCATTTCTCCTGTTTCTGGTTCTCCTGGTCTGCATTTCTCCTGTTTCTGGTTCTACTGGTCTCCGTTTCTCCTGTTTCTGGTTTTCCTGGTCTGCGTTTCTCCTGTTTCTGGTTGTCCTGGTCTCTGTTTCTCCTGTTTCTGGTTCTCCTGGTCTGCGTTTCTCCTGTTTCTGGTTCTCCTGGTCTGCGTTTCTCCTGTTTCTGGTTCTCCTGGTCTTCTTTTATCCTCTGTTTCTGGTTCTTCTGGTCTCCATTTATCCTATTTTTGGTTCTCCAGGTCTTCCTTTATCCTGTTTCTTGTTCTCTGGGTAACTCTTTCTCCGGTTTTTTGCTCTCTAGGCCTCCGTTTCTCCATTTTTTTCTTTTCCTGTATCTACGTTTCTCCTGTTTCTGCTTTTCTTAGTCTCTCTTTATCCTGCTTCTGGTTCTCCAGGTCTAAGTTTCACCTGTTTCCGGTCTTTAGGTTTCCTCTACTCCTGTTTCCCTGTTTTTGTTTCTGGTTCTCTTGGTTTTTCTATCTCCTGTTTTCGGTTCTTCTTCTATATTGTTCTCATTCTAAATTCCTCTAACCTTTTTTCCACTGGTTCTCTCTCGATATCTTGTTTCCCTGTTTTTCTTTCCTCCTTTTCTTAAATTAAAATGTTCTTTTTTTTACAGATCTCTTGTTATCCTGTCCTACTGTTTACAGTGTGTTCTACTGTTTTCCTTATCTACACTTGTGACCTTGTCTGTTATTTTACTCTCCCCCTCTCCTATTCTTTGTTGTCTTTTCTCCTATTATCCTCTTAGTTCTCCACCTTCTATTCTTAGTTCTCCACTCTGTTTCATATTCTCCTTTGTGCTCCTTCCTATTCCTATTCCCCCTCCCCCCTCCTTTTCCTATTCTTTTTTGATCTTCCCCCTTTCTGATATTTTCCCATAATTATCTTCTTCTCTTCTCCTCCTTTAAACTGTTTTAACTGAATCCTGAATTATGAGGACGGATTGAGGGTCCTTTTGTTTCCCGTCTATAGAATAAGGGCGAGAAAAACCTAAGATTTATCAATTGTATCTAGTATCTACTAGGAAGGAAGAGAGGGGAGCCTAACTTGAATTTGTTAACATATTCAGATCCATGTATTCAAACCTAACTCTGAGTTGTTAGTCCTGTCACACTCTCTCGTTATCGTGCCTTGGAGTATTATTTCTTCAGCGTGTCCGAGCTTTTTACCCGGAGTGCAAGATGCATAGATTGTAAGGGTAGTGTTAGGAGCTGCCAAGGTTCAGTGTTTGGACCCTTTTTATTCAGGAGTAAAATGATATCTTTATAAAGATTATATACATGAATGCATGGAGGGGTTTTATAGGATTGATCGTAGAGCTAGGAAGATAGGGAAGGATGGATGATTTGAAAATGGTAGACAGTAATTTGAAGTATTTAAAAAAAGTAGGAAATATTTGTTGAAGATCACATAAATGGCGCCATGCAAGGAGGCGCGTAAAACTAACTATGTAATGTCTAGCTAAGTTTGTCCTGGCTGTATCATAAAAAATTTATGATCCTGACATTCTCCTACCTTCCTACCAACTCCTTCTCTCATCCTGACATTCTCCTACCTTCCAACCATCTCCTTCTTTCATCCTGACATTCTCCTACCTTCCAACCATCTCCTTCTCTCATCCTGACATTCTCCTACCTTCCAACCTACTCCTTCTTTCATCCTGACATTCTCCTACCTTTCAACCATCTCCTTCTCTCATCCTGACATTCTCCTACCTTCCAACCATCTCCTTCTCTCATCCTGACATTCTCCTACCTTCCAACCAACTCCTTCTCTTATCCTGACATTCTCCTACCTTCCAACCATCTCCTTCTCTTATCCTGACATTCTCCTACCTTCCAACCATCTCCTTCTCTTATCCTGACATTCTCCTACCTTCCAACCATCTCCTTCTCTTATCCTGACATTCTCCTACCTTCCTACCATCTCCTTCTCTCTATTTAAAGCATAACTTGAATACCTTGACAGCTGTTTTCTATGCATCTATGTGTCTCACTTTATGATGTAAATTGTCCTTATTGACAAAAAAAGGTTTTCACTCTCGCAGATAGAAAAATTCTGGTTTGGAAATTAATTACGATATATTTTTACATGATTATAAAAATCTCAACTTGAGTCAAGTTAAGTTCAAGGTTAGTTTAAGCTGAAGGAAAATCTTCCGACTCAGAAGATTGACCAGATATTGTATAATTGATTAATTGATTAGTTGAACGAGGATTTGATTGATTGAGTGATAAGAAACCCCAATGTATGGATGGATGGATGGATTGAAAAGATGATTGATTAATGAATAGATGATTGTTAGCTCACTTGAAAAGATGAACCGCGCCTAGGTTAGATAAAGTGCATCTATGTGAAGAAAGGTGCAGAGGATCCTGTAAAAGTATCTTTTATCTCACAAAATTTTAAAAACTTATTTTATTGGAAAAATAAATAAAATGCATTTACAAAATTCAAGCTTTTATTAATTTATCTTGGAATATTTTTGCTCAAAGAAAGGCAAGTTTGGAGATGAATTTCAAATTTAATTGATCTCAAGTTATCATATGTATAAGAATTAATCAAATTATCAAAAGTATAAATCAATCAATCATCAAGTGTGTTTTATAGAATATTCCTGAACTAATCGATTACTAAATATTGGAAAGCTGAGAATTCTGCTTGTTTTCTCAAAATGGACGTAATTTCAACCCGATTCACAATGATACCCTTTAAACCTTTATGTGATCAATAATGTGGAAGATTGTAACGTATACAATCCCGACAATTTACTCAATTGTTTCAGCAACAGAAATGCGTAAATCACTTTTCAGAGTAACCACAGTTAAAAATAACCAATTTTCAAAAAAATATGGATATCTCATTCATTCTTGATCAGGTTAAGCTTTCAAGGTACCGTAGTGAATCAGAGATGGAATTTTAAAATCGGAGCGTCACTGAAAATTAATTATACAGTCCCTATAATCTATAATTATAATTGAATTTAATTACTTTAATTGATTATAATTATTTTTTATGAATTTTCTTGCTAATCATCATATTCGTAACTTGTTAAATGTTAAACATGGGCTTGGCTTTAATTCAATTTTATCTCAAGCTTGAGATAAAAAACAGCAATATATAAAAAATCTAAACCATTTTTGTTTTATTGCAAACATTTCTCCCGTGGTTCAAGACTGATTTACTCCGTGTACAGAGCAAGCACTGAGGCCTCTCCAGTAGCAAGCCAGGACACAGAGAACCATGTAGACCCACAACAGTTCCTAGGTAATATGTGGCATTTAGACCATTTTTCCATACGAGTAGAGAATTTTTTACTGTTTTTTAGAAGCAACTCCCACTCTGTGATTATACCATTTAGATCATTGCAACCATCCCCATGCCTCTCCCTCTTTTCTTAACCTTTTCATATTTTTCATTTGTAAAAAATGGCAACCCCTGGTTCAAAACGTTTGCCTACTTTAATGCCAAAGCATGATTATCTTTGATTGTGTAATTGATTGTTTACAATTCTCTTATGGTAGTCTTTTACTTTTGTTATCAAACATAAATCCTTCTTTGCCCGCTCATTTCTTAGATCATTTTTAGAATGTTTTGACAGTTATAGGGATTAGACTTTGCTCTATCTAACTAAGTTCAATAAAGATGCATTTTTAAACTAAAATCAGGGGGACAGAAGAATTAGCAAAACTAAATATTTTTTTCGGCATTATTTTAAAGTCATAATTTTATTATTTTAAAATCCCTCTTTTTGTCAAATACTAATCAATTCTTTGGCTACACCCTGCCAAATGTCCATGGAAAGTGCATTTGCAATAATGTGCACTGAGCAATAATGCAGTCTGAACAATGTGCATCTGAATATAATTGCATTATACATATTTAGAATTGGTAAACAAAGCTTTAAATGTTTGTAAATGCAAACATTAAGTGTATCAATGATCTTGATCGTTCTACTGTTGATGATACTGATCATACTATTTATTCAGTTGATGATACTGATCCTGCTATTTATTCAGTTGATGATACTGACCAATGACCATACTGTTTATTCAGTTGATGATACTGACCATACTATTTATTCAGTTGATGATACTGATCATGCTATTTATTCAGTTGATGATACTGACCATGCTCTGGTGTGTGAGGAAGAAATGATGATGCATTCAGAAGATTGTGAAGAGGTGGAGGAAGAGGTAATTTAGTTAGGCGTGCATTTCTTATATTTATTCATTAAGTTATTAATTTAATTTTTTTGGTTTATTATTGGGCAAATCTTTATTTTGTGTACATAGATTATTGATCAGTTATCATAAGATAACTATAAAAATATCTTTTATAAATGCCTATCAAGTTTTTCTTAACTTATTCATGCATATTTTATTTTTGTAATCAAAATTCATCATTTTCAAAATTTATGTTTTTCCTTGTGGTGACTGGTGAATTCCGAATTCCTGGAACTGTTGTATGTTGGGAGTTAAAACCTGAAACCCAGAATTTAAGAATTGAACTTTTCCTTTTCTTTGTTTCTAAGAATCTTCCCTATGGCGAGTTATACATAAGAACTAACAACAAACTGGTATACAGGGAACCAACAACAAACTGGAATACAGGGAACCAACAACAAACTGGTATACAGGGAACCAACAACAAACTGGAATACAGGGAACCAACAACAAACTGGTGTGTTGTATCTATGTATATCTAGGAGTGCAGTAGATGTGAGCCTATATCTATCTATATCTAGGAGTGTGGTAGATGTGACCCTGTGACCGAGGAGAAGTGTAGTATGGAGCTGGAGGTCAGCTTTGCTCCGGTCAAGGTCAAGGAGTGCAAGAAAATTCACAGCTGTCCTCCTGGAGTAAATCAGAAATGTGTTACAAAGTAAGTTTTTATATGGTTTATAATGCCTTTATACATTGTGAATGGTATTCTAACTTTAGTGGTGCGAAGATTAATGATCAATTACCATGGGCGTATACAGGGGGGAGGGGGGGACAGTGCTATAAACTCACTAAAACAGAGAATAGTTATCTGAAAAAAGAAGGATCTCGAAATAAAATTAGTCATACAATTTATATTCATACTGAAATCCTTTAATTTATACAGTGATATGTTCGATTCACAACAGTACCCTTTATTTTATACAGTGAAATGTTCGATTCACAACTGTATCCTTTAACCCTTTGTCTGATCATGAATGAGTGGGGGAATATTTTTTCTCTCTCGTAAAACTGATTATTGTGCTTTCTTAATGCATGTTAATCAGAGGCAGGTAACATAAGACTCGCCAAAAAGAAATGTTTCACCCTGTAAATCGGGGTCTTGTTAGATGCGTTGAAAAATGCTTATTGCATTTCTTTACAGAAATATCAGATAGAAATTTAAAAAATCTAAATATTAAATTTGGAAATTTAATTAAATTATGACTCATCTCAATAAGCACTCCTTTTAACCTGCAACATTAAACTTAAGCTTAGAAAAGTAAAATTAATTTCAGTATCAACTGCACAAACTCCGTACTCAATTTATTGTTAAGAGCTGGCACATTACACCCTTCCCTGACTGCCTGCAGCCCAGCACCTATCTTTTGTGCATAAATTGCTAAAATACGCGAATATTAGACAGCTAACCCCAAAACCTTAAAAACAATAAACATTTTGCGATTGTGTCAAAGTTCGGGGTTTTAATTTTATTTTTAGTACACATAAGTGTCCTTTACCTCCCCCCCCCCCTTCTACAGATAAATAATGATTGTTAGCTTTATTTTCAGTTGTCCTACATTTAAAAAATTCCGTATACGATGTCCAAACGTTAAAAAGTTGAATAAAAGAAAAAAGGGTATTGGATTCTTTAACCGTTTCTCGGCTTATAACTGACCTAACAGGCTAAGGTTAAAATTACATGAATTAAAAAGATGAAACCTATAGACCAATTTAGAGATGAATTACTTGCATAACTAATCTTTTTAAGCTACAGGGATAGCTTCAAGTTAGACTTATTAAGTGACTTATCCCCCCCTCCTCTTACCCCCTGAAACCCATAGCTAATGCACACTGTACAATGAGACTAAGGCTTTCCAAATGAAATGATTTTAGATGGATTTGAATCAAGATATGGGTGTGGTTACAGTGGTGCAGTGAGTTGGTAGGAGGGATTCAACACCAACGCCAATTCTTCATACTGTCCATTGCACCAGGATCTAATATAATCATTATAATTAGATATAGAGGCAGAAGTGAGAAGAGGAAATGGGTTAGAAGGAAAGAAGAAGGTAGGGAGGGGGTTAGAAGGAGAGAAGAAGGTTGGTAAGGGTTTGGGAGGAGAGAAGAAGGTAGGAAAGGGGTTAGAAGGAGAGAAGAATGTAGAGAAGGGGTTGGAAGGAGAAAAGAAGGTTGGGAAGGGGTTAGAAGAAGAGAAGAAGGTTGGGAAGGGGTTAGAAGGAGAGAAGAAGGTAGGGAAGGGGTTGGAAGGAGATAAGAAGGTATGGAGGTGGTTAGAAGGATAGAAGAAGGTAGGGAAGGGGTTAGAAGGAGAGACGAAGGTAGGGAAGGGGTTGGAAGGAGAGAAGAAGGGAGGGAAGGAGTTAGAAGGAGAGAAGAAGGTAGGGAAGGGGTTAGAAGGAGAGAAGAAGGTAGGGAAGGGGTTAGAAGGAGAGAAGAAGGTAGGGAAGGGGTTAGAAGGAGAGAAGAAGGTAGGGAAGGGGTTGGAAGGAGAAAAGAAGGTAGGGAAGGGGTTGGAAGGAGAGAAGAAGGTATGGAGGTGGTTAGAAGAAGAGAAGAAGGTAGGGAAGGGGTTAGAAGGAGAGAAGAAGGTTGGTAAGGGTTTGGGAGGAGAGAAGAAGGTAGGGAAGGAGTTAGATGGAGAGAAGAAGGTAGGGAAGGGGTTAGAAGGAGAGAAGAAGGTTGGGAAGGGGTTAGAAGGAGAGAAGAAGGTAGGGAAGGGGTTAGAAGGAGAGAAGAAGGTAGGGAAGGGGTAAGAAGGAGAGAAGAAGGTAGGGAAGGGGTTAGAAGAAGAGAAGAAGGTAGGGAAGGGATTAGAAGTAGAGAAGAAAATAGGGAAGTGGTTAGAAGGAGAGAAGAAGGTAGGGAAGTGGTTAGAAGGAGAGAAAAAGGTAGGGAAGGTTTTGTTAGACTTTTTAGTTTTAAAAAAGTTTTCTTCTTTTTGTTTTTCAATAAAATCTATAATTTTGAAATCATTCTTTTGCATTATTATTGTATTGATGAACAAATTAGATCTAAATTCTCACAATATCAAATCAATTACGTTTTTGCCTCTAACCATCCTTTCATCTCAATATCATTAGCAATATTTAGAACTTAAATTGATTTTTACAGGGTGTACACTTTATATGGATTATTTACAGGGTGTACACTTTATATAGATTATTTACAGGGTGTACAATTTGAATAGATTATTTACAGGGTGTACACTTTATATAGATTATTTACAGGGTGTACACTTAATAAAGTTATATTTACAATAAGCTTATCTAAGATGCTTATTTCAATAAAAATGATGAAAAAACAAAAAAATATTCTCATCAGATCATACATTTTTTTCTTAATGTACGAAATTAAGGACACCATGTTTTAAACAACTTAAAACCTGTTATGCAACCAAAATATAAAGAAAAGTTTTTTTTATTATTTTTGTAGAATAAAGTTAGATCTCAGAAAGTTTTAGATTAAATCTGATAACTTTCAAACAATGCAATTTTTTTCGATTTTTCTGCGATGCTTAACCTTTTGCTGTTAAATGCCCAGCACAGAGAAAAATGATTGAGATTCTTGTAAAATGTTTAATTTGCAAAAACATTGCAAATCTGTATTTCAAAGCCTGCACCTGTTAAGAATGAAGTAAGGGGTCATTGTTTATGATATTGATTTAAAAACAAACCTAAGAAGATAAATCGCCTCAAACTCTTATTTTAAACCTGTAAACCTTGGATATTTCAAACTTTAACTACTTGATCTAGCAGATCGTAGTGAGTAGTTTGAAATATTTTGAATTAACTATGTCAGGTTGCAAAGATATTTGGATTACAAAATAAGAATAAGAATAGATACAAGGAAGGGTGAGGGGAAGTCTACATAGTTTGTATATTAAGAATGGTGAAATTAAGTACTGTTGGAAAGGTCCTTGCCCCCCCCCCTTTATTTACCCGGTGTGCCCCCCGCCTCTTAAAAAACGAAGCTGCTTTTTACACTGAATCTGTAGGAATACCAAGGTTAGTCAGCCTTGGATTAATATTCAGACATTGTTCAACAATTAAAATATTTATTAAAGGGAGTGACCTGCAATGTATAGTAGTTGAACTGAGAATTTAGTATTGTGGAGACATTTTTAGGATTCATTTGAGACATATGAAACGTTTTAATGATGTAAAATTATTGAGTTTGAGCGAAAAGTCGACTTTCAAAATCATCCATTTGGGTAGTTACGTTTTGAGAATCGATTTTTTAAAGAATTATTAAATAACGACGACGAAAACTGTGACAAAAATTCTACAGTAAACTAATAAGTTGTTTAGGAACAGATTGAGAAAATAAAAAACTCTCATCATCAAAAATAAGTAATCATATTCAGTTATTAGTTACTGTAATCTCTCATTGTTCACAAACATTTTCTGTAGATTTGTAGAAATCTGTGAACAAACTCGTAAAGAATAAAAAATTCAATATAATGATGAAAAAGATAATTGATTATATGGTCCTAAACATCAAACTAGTTTATTGTAGAATTTTAGATACATTTTTCGTCGTCGTTATTTAGTAATTCATGAAAAATCAATTCTCAAAACGTAACCACCAAAGTGGATGGTTTTTAACGTCGACTTTGCGCTCAAACTTTGTAATTTTACATCATTAAAACGTTTTATATGTCTCAAAGGAATCCTAAAATATTTTTCCACAATTCTACATTCTCAGTTCAACTACCATACATTGCCGGCCACTCCCTTTAATCCCCGGATTTCCCAGATCAGTAGGCCACATTACTATAGGCCCCAGAACTATAAGCCCCAGAACTACAAGCCCCAGGAATGGGCCTCTTAAAATGTATACAATTATTAACTTTTGAAATATCATCGTTATTTTTATTATTATATTAATATTGTTATTATTATTGTTGTTATTATTATTATTATTATCGGTATCATTATTATTATTATTATTATTATTATTATTATTAGTATTATTATTATCATTATCATTATTATTATTCTTATTATTGTTATCATTATGATGATCACTAAGAATAATATTTGTTGTTAAAAACAGTTGTACAGTTTATAATGTTTATATTAGTATAATTTTCATTATGCATTACACTGCAACTATCTTCACGAACTAGGATGCAGTTGGTCCCAAAAGTGTAAACCTCGAGTAGCTAGTTTTGGCCTAATATTGTTTTTTTCAAGAGATATTTAACAACAACACACTTTTTATAAAAGATATCGTTGCTATGCACGCGCCACTGTGATCTTACCAGGCACTGGGTAGTCCAGACTGGACAGTAAGACTGAATGCATTTACAGTACGTGTTGTACCGGTTCGGATCATGCAACCTTTAGAGTGAGGGTGATGCGTTCTTGATGGATCTTTTATAATGAAGGGTCGCTTTTAATTAATTGAGGTTAATTATTTTAATTAATTGAGGTTAATTATATTAGATAAGGATTGTCTTAAGATCTTTGGAACACCATTTGTTGCATAATTTTACACCCATAAATCTTGAATCCTTTCCCCCCTCGCTCATAGACCCCCCTCCCAAACTAGTGTAAATTTCCCTTTCCTATCCTATATATGTAGTAAACACCTACTCTATAACAAGGTCTTGAAACGTATCTATCCAGGTACAATCCGTCCGCTATCAAACTTAATCTCAGGCTCTAAATGCCAAACAAGGACAGTAGCGAAGCTACCAACAAGCTATGTATTTATCGATCCCAGATGATAGGGATGATCCAATTTGATCAATGTCTCAACCAGGACAAGATACACAATGCCTCTATGATCAATGCCTCTATACAGGGCTTGATATTGTAAGCTATCGACGTCAATACAGACACTAGCAATCAATTAATCAATGTCTCATCAGGACACAATCCACACAGCTACAATTCTGTGACTAATCAATACCACAATACAGGGTGCGATATAGTTAGCTATCAATGTCAATACAGACACTAGCAATCAATAGAACAATGTCTCATCAGGACACAATCCACACAGCTACAATTCCGTGACTAATCAATACCACAATACAGGGTGCGATAAAGTTAGCTCTCAATGTCAATACAGACAATAGCAATCAATAGAACAATACCAATACTCAAGCTATGATCTACACTGGTATGTTTCAACGAGAACCAAATTACTTCTAATATTGTAATAAAAGCAGAGTTTCTATCAATTTTATTTAATATCTTATGTCACAAAGTTAACAGGAATTGATGTAGTTACAATTCCTACAATGATATCGTTATCACATGATTAAGACCAGAATATTACGTATTTATCGCACAGTTAAAGTTTAATATACATATTCATAGGATTAGAGAGAATAGCAGTTAAGCTATCTCCACACATATTTTATACCGTAATTTAAGTATGTCGCATGATTTAAGCTTATCATGTTAAGTATTCAATTGAAATGCAGTTTCAATGAATAATGTCATTATGTCTAAGTTTAAAACATTAAATCATTAATATGTACAGAATATCATGTTTCCACGATTTTTGCTACACATAAACTTAGGTCTTTTTCCCCCCCTCTTGAGATTTCAAAATAGCTTCTCAATAGCACTAAGGGAAAGAAACCCTAGTGCAAAACAGGAAAAATATCTATCTTTTGCTGTGTTTATGTTCATTATACTATTTAAAAACAGAACTTGAGTCTGATAGTCGTCCATTACTGAAGAATTTACAACAAAAACTTGCCAACAAAAGATTGTTTGGACTCCTTTTAGCTAAAGAAGAGCATGTATAATGAGATATCGTTTAGATGTATAAAGTTGAAGATATTTATGATCCAAACCTGATCTGAATTCTGAATTTAAATATTTAATATTCTTCATATCACTCAACTCCTGCTTAGAAAGCAGGGTTATATAATATATATTTTCTTTTTTGAAAAATTATTCCCACCTCTCCCAAAATTATTTTTCTAAACTGATTTTTTCCCTCCCAGGGGCGGGGGAATACAAATTATTTACCCCTGGAAAGAGAATTAGAATAGGGATCTAAGGGTTGAAGTCTTGGAGGGATAGAGACATTAAAATACAAATATTGATATGCACATTAACTAAGCTTCGCACCCCTCACTTTTAATGATACTAACCCATCTCTTATTTTTTTTCTTCATAATCTGCTGAGGTAATAATTCATCGCAAGTCATTCAAAAATTATCTTGAAAGGAAACCTAACATAGATCTCAAGATTTGACTTGTTTCTTTAAAAAGAGCTCTCAATTTTAACTTTAGAATTTAATTTTGTCTGTTTTTTTATTTTCTATACCAAATAAGGTTCAAACTTCACTTATTCTTTAGATATTTTCATTATTTTCTCACAATTTACAGGGAAAAGCAAAATGTACGGTTTAAAGCAAGGAAGCTATAATTGCTCTAACGCTGGAAATAGAAACTAACTTGAGGTGCTAGAAGTGATGACCTCGCCAATGCAAGTAGACAGAATATTCAGCACTGAGGCTCCTGAGGCTGAAATTACAATTAAGCAAAACAAAAAAAACGGAGAGGGGTTCATCTATACAATGAAAGGGTGATCCTGCACTGTCTTATAATGGCGCAAATACAGCGAATCGTAAACATTCTTTCAAAAGTAGCGCCATAAATGGACGGCAAAGGGAGGCAAGAAAAAGAGACACTGCGGATGCGCAGATGGAGAAAGGAGAAAAAAGATGATTGATGAACATATATAATTATTAACAATGCCTCATAACATTTTATTTTATGAAAATTTTAAAAATAAATTATAAAAACATTGTTATAAACTTACAATGTACAGGGAGCACAAAACTTTGACAAATTATATAACTTGAAAAAACACGTCTTTAAAGGGAGTGTTCTTAATTTTCAGAAAGGATAATGAGACAATCCTCAAAAAAAAATTGATTCATAGCTTAGAAGTCCGTTTTAGCCTCCAAACAAACGAACTATTAAAATGACTGTATGTGTCAAGTGAGATTGCTGTGCCAGATACACAGCGGTGCCTCTAACAATTTTGTTTGATCAAGTATTTAATAGATATCAATGTTTATAATTTTGTTTGATCAAGAATTTAATAGATATCAATGTTTATAATTTTGTTTAATCAAGTATTTAATAGATATCAATGTTTATAATTTTGTTTGATCAAGTATTTAATAGATATCAATGTTTAAAATCTTGTTTGATCAAGTATTTAATAGATATCAATGTTTATAATTTTGTTTGATCAAGTATTTAATAGATATCAATGTTTATAATTTTGGAAACTAATTGTTTATCTATTCTCTGCAAAATTAACTTTCTAATTTCTACCGCTGGAAAACAAAGTGTCTTATTATCATTATTAAACACTTTTTAACCTAGAAAAACAACAATATCATCCACATTACTGATCAGATAAAGGTTTCAATGGTACCGTTGTGAATTGGACATTGTCATTTTTGCATAAAGGTTCACTTTAAATTACGCTCACAGTCCCTTTAAACGATACAATCCTAACCATCCCTGACTGTAGTTTCTGTTCTAGGTATAGAAAGGAGTGTAGTCAGCAGAAGATGATAAAAGAGAAAGAAATTGATTTCCCAATGTGTGGAATAATTATGGTTCAAAACTGCACCAGGAAACCAAACCAAACCAAACAAAACCAAACCAAACCAAACTAAACTAAACTAAATCCGAACCAATCCAAACACGACCTATCAAAACCTTACCAAACCAATCCAAATCAATTGTATTCAAACTAATTTAACTATAAGCCTTTACATAGAACCAAACAAAAGTAAAACTATGAGTATTAACAAACATTATCCACTAGTATTAAATACTATCAGAATACCAAAAATTATATATTTTAAATATCGTCAATATTGCACTTTTAAAATTGTTGTTGATTTGTTTGTTTACTGTACTGCAGTTGTGTGGGGTGTACAGAAGAACAGCACTGCAGCGAGGTACGGTTTCCAAAATAATAAATTAAAAACAAAATGTTGTTGTTGTTTAATACTTTGTTACTAGGTTCCCGTCATGAAATGCCACATGGAGAAGAAAATGTCTGAAAAGGTAAATTTTGTAAATATCATTTGAGAAACTTTTAAAGATTTTAGCCTTTAGGAATAAAAAAGTTAGAAAAATCGTTAACTTTTCTAAAGGAAAAAAATAAAAAAGCTATAGTAGCAAAAGTACTATTTATGTAGTATGTAGCGGAATATTTTGAAATTTTGGCGGGATTTTAAGAACTAATAAAGTGATGTTTATTTCGTATAATAATCCTAAATCAATCTTAAAATGTCATAAATCAACCCTTGATCGACTGCTAAATATAGGTAATTTTGTATCCAACATGGCCACATCAGTATCTCTAAAATATCAAAAATAAACAAAATGCCCTATCATAGACGCATAGGGAATATGGGAACATTAGTGCTTAAAATCCAGGACAATAAAAGCGATCAGCCGGGAAATAAAGTAGTGCCAGATTTGAACCCATTAAATTGTACCAGCCGGGAAATAAAGAAGTGGCAGATATGAAACCTATTATATTGTATTAGCCGGGAAATAAAGTAGTGCCAGATATGAAACCTATTATATTGTATTAGCCGGGAAATAAAGTAGTGTTAGATATGAAACCCATTATATTGTACCAGCCGGGAAATAAAGTAGTGTTAGATATGAAACCCATTATATTGTTCCAGCCGGGAAATAAAGTAGTGGCAGATATGAAACCTATTATATTGTATTAGCCGGGAAATAAAGTAGTGTTAGATATGAAACCCATTATATTGTACCAGCCGGGAAATAAAGTAGTGCCAGATATGAAACCCATTATATTGTACCAGCCAGGAAATAAAGTAGTGTCAGATTTGAAACCCATTAAATTGTACCAGCAGGGAAATAAAGTAGTGTTAGATATGAAACCCATTATATTGTACCAGCCGGGAAATAACGTAGTGCCAGATTTGAAACCCATTATATTGTACCAGCCGGGAAATAAAGTAGTGCCTTATTTGAAACCCATTATATTTTACCAGCCGGGAAATAAAGTAGTGTCAGATTTGAAACCCATTAAATTGCACCAGCAGGGAAATAATGTAGTGTTAGATATGAAACCCATTATACTGTACCAGCCAGGAAATAAAGTAGTGCCAGATATGAAACCTATTATACAGGGTGTCCCAAAAAACATGGGAATTCAGTGACGAATTCGAGATCGTCTTTTCAGATAATTCTTTGATTTAGTATAGTGATACCTAGTGAGAAAGCTGTAATCTAAGAGTTTCGTCTGCTATGTTTACATTTTGTTTGTTTATGTTTTGACTGCAACCGGTTGTACTCAGTAAAACAAGAAAATTGCAGTATACNAGTGCCAGATATGAAACCCATTATATTGTACCAGCCGGGAAATAAAGTAGTGCCAGATATGAAACCCATTATATTGTACCAGCCGGAAATAAAGTTGTGCCGGATATGAAACCCATTATATTGTACCAGGCGAACCAGGCGGGAAATAAAGTAGTGCCAGATATGAAACCCATTATATTGTACCAGGTGGGAAAATAATATGGTCACTATCAGGATATAAAAGAAATCAATTCAAAATTCGATTAATACTTTAAATGTTTATAAATTTACTCCAGGAGGTTGAGGAACCAGTCTGTAGAAGTGTTCCAGAAGAAAATTGTGAAGTAATTTTTAAAAACTATCATTATCTAATTGCGCTTCGCGCCTCACTTTTTAATAATGATGTTAGCTGTAATGTTGTCTCATCTCTTCTAACAAATAAGAAAAAAATTCGCTTCCCGTTTGTATTGGTCAATTTTGAAAATTTATGGAAACAAATTTGTGTCTCAGTTTTTGGTCCTGCATGCCAGATTTATCGACTGGAAAGTTGTAGTTGAACTATGTAAACTAAATTGAACCATTTCTCTTGTACGCTGCACCGGGTCAATGTGAAGAGAAGTGGTTCAATGAGGTCTACTTAGGTCAACTACTTCTCAATATTCATTTAATTTGGTCCTTGGTCGGCTATAAATATTCGTAAGAGGTAAAAAAAAAACTTCAAATTTTTAGGATTGTGAAAAGTGTTATCAAACTGTCCGACTGAAGCGAGTTATCCAACCCAAACAGACATGCAGGTAACCAAACCAAATATACTGGTAACCAAACTATATATACTAGTAACCAAAACAAATATACTGGTAACCAAACAATATATACTGTTAACCAAACTATATATACTGGTAACCAAACCAAATATACTGGTAACTAAACCAAATATACTGGTAACCAAACCAAATATACTGTTAACCAACCCAAATATACTGTTAACCAAACCAAATATACTGGTAACCAAACCAAATATACTGTTAACCAACCCAAATATACGTTTAGTCCAACATAATCAAAAACCCCAGACTTAAAGGGAGTGAAAATGTAATATCCAATTGATAACCGTTTTCTTTAAACCTTTATAAAGGGTGAGCAAGAAATCCTCATTTGTCTGGATGAAAGTATTTAAATTGTGGATTCTCTGTCAAAGGAATTTACACATTTATGCTTCAGAATTGACAATGCATGATATTGTAAGAATTCAACACATTTTAAGATGATGTAATTCGCAAATGCCACTCAACTCTTTTTAAAACAAAGGGTCACATAAATTACGTCTACAGTGTTGTAGAAATTATTTTTATTTATTTATTTATTTGACACATATAAAACGTTTCCACGATGAATGATTACCGAGTTTGAGTACATGTTCGACGTTCAAAATCATGAATTTGGGTGGGTACGTTTTTAGAATCGGTTTTTAAAATTTATTAAATAACGACGACGAAAAATAAACAGAAAAATTATACAGTAAACTAATTAGATGTTTAGAAACATATTTCTCAAAATAAATTTGTCAATAAATCAATGTTAGAATTAATTATTTCGTTTTCATCATCATATTGGATTTCTTATTTTCTATGAATTCGATCGCAGATTTCTACAAATTCTTCAAATGTCGTCTTTTCAATAAAAATTTCCGAAAAGATTTGTGCATAGTCATAGAATACAAAAACTAATAATTGAATAATATATCTTCTTAATCTAGATTACTTATTTTCGATGATAAGATTAATTTTAATTTTCTCAACCTGTTCCTGAACAAGTAATTAGTTTACTGTAAAGTTTTGTTTGTCGTCATTATCTAATAATCAAAAAAAAAATTCTGAAAACGTATCCAACCAAAAGTACGATTTTGAACGTCGACTTTGCGCTCAAACTCAAGATTTACAGATCTTTTTATGTCTCAAATGAATCCTAAAGAATTTGTCCACAACACTGCCTACTCAGTTCAACAACCTTACAGAGCGGGTCTGTCCCTTAAAGAGTTTTAAATTTCAAGTTTAATTTCTTATTTGTTTTTAGGCTTATTGAGAGCATAGTTTGTGACAATCAAACTAATCATCAACAGAATAATACTGATAACAGTAGAGACAGTAGTGCAATCAATTTCCCCAATGAAGATCCTCCTGCAATATACAGTACAACCAGTGCAGTACACTTGAACAGTACAACCAGTGTAGTACACTTGAACAGTACAACCAGTGTACCCTGTAGAACAGTTAAAAGAACCATATGTAAACCTAGATCTAAGATTTTGATTAAGAAACTATGTTCTAGAGAATATGACTGGATGCTGCATCAGATTCCGTAGTCTTGGGAGCCAGGGATCAAATTTAATGAACAGTGAGAATAAGTAACTACTTAGTGAGCGCCGGTTCAAGTTCAAGAGAAGTTGTTCAACTCATTCTACGTAGTTTCACTACTTTTCGTTATTCATTAAATTCACTGATCAATTAAAGTTTCAATATCCTCAAAAAAAAAGGTTTTCAGACCTGCGTATTTTTAGCCATAAAAACATCTTTTGTAACTAAAACTTATGCACAAATCTTGAATTGATTCATTCAGTTATATATGTATACAGTTGTACAATTGTAAGTCATTTTGTATTATGGTTCATTAACTAAGAACTAAGAAGCAAGTACTGTACTGCAATAGAATCCAGTATTTCTAACTTTACCAAATTATTAAAATATTGTGACATGTAACCTTAAAAGGGCATTGTACTTTTATGTATAATTTTAATTTCTTAATGTACTGTGATAGTTAAAATATAAAGGGCATTATGTGATCAATTATGAATTGGAAGTTCTTCTTAATATATTGTAAGATTATTTCAAAATATATTCTTTTAAGATATTGCAATAAACCAACAAAAATGATTTAATTGAGATTTACTTTATCTCTTTTTATAAGTCGGAACTGAGACCTTTGTGTGGAGTATTGCTAATCTTCAATGCTTGATCTCGATATCCAATCTTGACACTTTTAGAGGATAACTGCTTGATACCTCATTTAAAGTTATCCTTGTAGGGTATGTCCACCACGGGATATTGAAGATGGAGCAAAATGTTCGATTCTTAGATTCAAAACACAAAAGTTTTGACTTGAGATAGATTAATTAGCAGGACTGATTCCCATCCGTTTAAAATACATCAAATAAAATACATCCGTTTAAATTACATCTAAATATTAGTGTTAAAGGGAGCTAATCGCTTGATCTCGATATCCACATGGGAATTTCTAAATTTGAAGTAATAGTGCGTGATACCTCAAATTATGATATAATATGAGTTAATAAAATCCTTCGGACAACATACTACTTGATCTAGTGATTAACAAAACAAAAAATGTTCCCTCTGAACCAAGAGGGTATAACTATTGATAAAAATACCAGAGCATGCTAGAATACTGCATGTCTGAGCTTCTTGTTTCTGATAAATTCTGGTTTATGTCTTAAATAGAAATAAAAAGAAATAATTATTGAATCCATAATAGCGTCGCTGATGATAATTTCTGTTTAACTTAAATCAGTTTTTTAATCTTAAAGAATCTTTAGACGCAATAAAAAGTGGCATGTCCGATTCAGAAAGGTACATCTAAAATTTGTCTGATAAGGATGAATTAGATATCCATGTTTATACTTCTCAAGAGCAGTTTGATAAAACATGGTTCTGAATTTAAACAATTTTATTGCAATACTAAATCAATTCAATTTACAAAAAACATAAGTTATTAACACTTTAGTACGAAAATAATTCTGATAATTCAAATTATACTGATAGTGAGGAAGGTACAATCTTTATTTAAAAATAAACATAATGAATTCAGCTTACAATTTTGAAATAAAATTTTCTTTTTAAATCCCTTTTAACTTTTATAACAGACAAGGGAAGTTCTAATAAGCATAAAAAGACGTTAATTTCCACAATTGTCGATTTTCACAAATGTTCACCAGTTTTACTCCACTGTAATTTATCAAATGTACTTTCAGACAGCTAGCTAACGTCATTTATACCTGCAAATACTGCAGATAAAGATGTTTCTCTTAGCTGTGAGTGTTCATGTGGTATGTCAAATGTTGACCTTCAGAGCAAATCTTTTTTTCTTCCGAGAGTGAGAGTTAATATGGCGTTTTAGATTACTAGGTTGACTAAATGCTTGATCACAAATACGACATGAATATGGTTTCTCTCCAGTATGATACCTCATGTGTGTTTTGAGATAAACCTTCTGAGCGAATCCTTTGTCACAAATACTGCAAGTGAAAGGTTTCTCCTGAGTGTGAGAGTTAATATGGCGTTTAAGATTACTAGTTTGGCTGAATGCTTGATCACAAATATAACATGAATATGGGTTTTCTCCAGTATGAGATCTCATGTGTGTTTTTAGATAAACATTCTGAGCGAATCCCTTGTCACAAATACTGCAGACAAATAGTTTCTCCTGAGTGTGAGAGTTGATGTGGCTTTTCAAGTTATCAGCTCGGCTAAATCCTTTCTTACAAATATCACATGAATATGGTTTCTCTCCAGTATGAGATCTCATGTGTGTTTTTAGGTTGGCCTTCAGAGCGAATCCTTTGTCACAAGTACTGCAAGTGAAAGGTTTCTCCTGAGTGTGAGAGTTCATGTGGCTTTTTAGACTACTAGTAAAACTAAATGCTTTATCACAAATATCACATGAATATGGTTTCTCTCCAGTATGAGATCTCATGTGTCTATTCAGGGAAGATTTATATCTAAACATCTTATTACAAATACTGCAGGGATGTGTTTTCTCTACAGATTTAGAATTATCATCCATGATGTAATCAGATTAAATTTTAAATTAGATGATTAAAAATCTGTAGTTTTCTTTTCTTCAATCTCAAGATTTTTAAACAGAATAGGAATTCTCATTTTACAGGTTTGCTGTCTCCAATCTGAATATATCTGAAAAAGTAGAATTTTATTTTAAAATGTTCTTTAAATGTTACTAAATGCATTATCATATTATTTAAATAAATAAATTAAGTTTTTGCCTTACACAAAATAAACTCTGTTCAATCAAATAAATTTAGTTTTGAATTATCATAGGTTTACACTATCAGGTTGCAAAGTTATAAGGATTAGAAAATTTGAGTTTGTGGAATAAAAACTCAATTTCTGAACATTTTTATATCTAGATAATAATAGAGTAATCAGTCTTCATCCTGGTTAGAGAAAAGTATCAATGTTTTTTGTCATTTAAAATCAATATGAAGGAACAGATTATTGAAAACAAATTCTTGTCATTTGTAAAAATCCGGAATTTGAGAAAAAGCGTAAACCCAATAATATACAAGTGCTTCTAAATATACAGTAGTTGATGCCAGAGCCACAGTTTAACCGAAATAATAACGTTCTGAATATTTTAGGTATTCTCTTGAAATCAACCAAACAAATAATGTTTCATTTATTTTAGGCATTTTTTTTGCAAGGGTTCCACTTTAAAATCTTCATTGCGAGGTCTGCTCAATTCAAATATCATTTATGTTACAGTTATAACCAGAAAACTCTGAAATAGGAAGAGACTTTATAGCAATACTTGGTGGATTTGATGGCGTTACATAGCTTTACTTGAAGCATATGTTATCACTATTTAAGTGAAATGGGTCTGTTTACATTGGACAATTGCTGTATACCGTGCTGATTGGACTATTTCTGGTTATCACCGTGTATTTTGCTGCAATCGTCGTCGTATACATCAATACAATGAAGACGACTTTCTATAATTAATGTTGATTATTGTCAAGCTTTCAAACAGTAAGGATACACATAAACATGGAAACAAAGAGAAGCTGGTAATTAACAGCTTCTCTTTGTTTACTTGTAAACTTATAATTTGAAAAAAGTTCGTTAGTAATCAAAACTTAATTAGAAAAAGTCGTCATAATTGTGTTGTTATAAATACAACCAATGTTAAAAGGGGAAAACTCCCTCATTGACATTTTAAGAACGCCCTGAAAACATTTAGTCTCCGTCGAAAATCATAAGTCCAGAAATATTTACCAGACATCTTCGCTATCAGATATATAGTCGGTTTAAATGTTTCCTGGGTTAGCAACGGAAAACAACCAAAATATTGACGTTTTACATACTTTCAGCAATGGAAATCAACATGCTTAATACAAATATCGTTCGTACTGTATTTTGGTATAAAATAAAATTTTGATTCCGAAGGGAAATCAACCAAAATGTGGCCATTCTAGTTAATTTATTGAAATCTACCAACATATTGTTTAAGTATTATTAGAAAGGGAAATCAACTTAAATATTACATTTTCAGCATTTGTAGCACAAGAAACAACCGAAACAATTACATTTTAATATCTTTTTTAATGAAAATTAACCAAACTAATGACACTTTTAACGTTAACCGAACAAAGAACGTTATTGGTATTTTAAGCCAAGGAAATCAACCAAAATAATGACATAATAGCTTAGCTATTTATAGCAATGGATATCAACCAAAAATAATGAATGTTTTTAGAAAAAAAAACACCAAAATAATGACATTAAATTAATTTTACTAATGGAAATCAACCAGAACGTTAATAGCAGTTTTAGCTATGATAATCAACCAAAACATTGAAATTCTAATATCTATAGCACTGGAAATCAATCAAAATTTTATATCTGAGTAGTTTTAACTCTGAAAATCAACCAAAATAATGGTGGTTAAGTAACAACCTTTTACAAAAAGCAATGGAAATAATCAAAGTTCTGTCGTTGCCAGTATTTTTACCATGGAATTCAACCAAAACAATGAAACAAAAGAAATATTTTCAATGAAAAGAGCAAAATTTAACGACAATTTATTATTAAAAACAACCAGTTAATAATCCGATGTTTTTCTTTAAAGGTGTGAATAAAATCATCTAGACTGTAAATATAAATTATACCATATGAATCACAAAAATCGTCAATAATCATGGGTTTATAACAAATTTCTAGGTTACTATTATTACTAACAGTTATTCTACAAAATTTTGAATACATTTCTGCTAGTCATAATAATAAACAATATCACAGAACATAAATAGGAAATCTAACTCTAATAATAAATTTAATTAAACATATTTTAAAAATACAAGACAATAAAAAATCACATTACTTAAATCTTGAACTTTAAGATCAGCAATTGTAATTGCTTTCATATTATTAGCCAGTATTTCACATTAGAGTATCTCTTAGTAATATCATTTGACAGTTAAGGAAGATTCTTCATATAACATCGCATTTAAGAGTGGAAGATTTTTCTTTTAACATCGCATTTAAGAGTGAAAGATTCTTCATTTAACATCGCATTTAAGAGTGAAAGATTCTTCATTTAACATCGCATTTAAGAGTGGAAGATTCTTCTTTTAACCGAATCCTTAATATGGAAGATTCTTCATTTAACATTACTAGGCTTTTAGGACGCTTCGCGCCCATCTTCTATTTAAATTGTGAACATGTTATTTTTGTTTACATTTTAAAACAAAGAAATTTTTTTTGCGGTTTTTAAAAAAAATCGCGGATTTTCAAGAATTTATTTTTTTTTACAAAATTAAAAACCTTTAAAACACGTTTTTCTTTAATTTTTATCATTTATAAACCTTCCCTGTGGTCATGTGATGTCCCACAAAAAAATTGGGCCCGATCGGTTTGGCCGTTTTGACGTTTATTGGATACAAACAAACAAACAGACAGACAGACAAACAGACAGACAAGCCAAATTTATATATAGATTATTACAGATAAAAGATTCTTATTTTAACGCATCCTAAATATGAAAGATTCTTGTTTTAACATCATCTAAAGAAAGAATATTGTTCTTTTAACATCATCTAAATAAAGAATATTGTTCTTTTAACATCATCTAAAGAAAGAATACTGTTCTTTTAACATCATTTAAAGAAAAAATATTGTTCCTTTAACATCATCTAAAGAAAGAATATTGTTCTTTTAACATCTAAAGAAAGAATATTGTTCATTTAACATCATCTAAATAAAGAATATTGTTCTTTAAACATCATCTAAAGAAAGAATATTGTTCTTTTAACATCATCTAAAGAAAGAATATTGTTCTTTTAACATCATCTAAAGAAAGAATATTGTTATTTTAACATCATCTAAAGAAAGAAAATTGTTATTTTTACATCCTCTAAAGAAAGAATATTGTTATTTTAACATCATCTAAAGAAAGAATATTGTTCTTATAACAGTATCTTAAGGATAAAAGACTCTTCTTTTGACATAATCTTAAAGAAAGATTTTTCTTGTACCGGCATCCTAAAGATTTAAAATTCTTGTTTAGCAGCATCTAGAAAATAGAATATTCTTCTTTTAACGGCATATTTTAACATTTTATATTAATATTCTTCCGTTAACAATATTCCATGTGAATAATCTGTTTCTTCTTTAAGATTTTCTTTCTTCTTTTAATATTTCAAGGTCAACATAGTCTTCGTTTGAACAACGTTATCTCTCTGTCAATTCTTGATTAATTAATAATCTAATTTCAGAATCAAATATTCAATTTGAAAAATAATTAATAAAATATTTTATTTCAACCTGTTAAAAGATAATTTAAGTGGTAAATATTGATTTCTAAACAAAATTTGATACGTATTATGGATGTATACATTAAAAAAGTAAATGATATCAAAAGTAGTTGCAAATATTATCTGTTAAAATCGGCCAAAACAAAGATAAAAGTGAAATGATATTCGGTTGATGTTCAATTGAAATTAATAATTTACTTTTATTAATAAAAGAGATAACAATATATAAGTGTATTTCTCCCTTGATGATTGATGAAGGATTCCTGAATCCCCGATAACACTTTTAATTGGAACTACAGAACTCTCCGGGGATACTTTATACCTAAAACATTAAAATTTAATTTTAAGCTTTTTAGTAAAATAAAAACTCTATTCTACTTAAAAACTACTAGCTTGAGATCCCAGCTTTGCTTGGATTTTCCCAATAAAAGTCAACCCACTCAACTTAGAATTACAAAACCAAGCTAAGAACATTCCCTTGGTTCTCCCAAGCTCACCAATCAAAATTTGAGGTAAATCAGTCCCGGGATTCATGAGTTATGATCTGATATACATACAGACATTACAACCTATCATATATATAGATATACAAAACTAAGAAATATTAAAAAAATGCGAATCTTATATTTAAAAGTGATGTACAATAAAACATGCATTTTATTACTGTTCTTAGAATAAATTATATTTCTGAGAATAAGAGTAGTATATCAGAACTCAGAACTATTGTGTTGTAACAAACAAATCAAATAAAAAAATCAACAAACAATCAAACAAACAAACAAACAAACAAAGTATATTTATAGAATTGATATTAACCTATTGTCTTCTATACAAAGGCAGAGAATGTGCTTCTGTTTGTGATTTTCAATTTTCCACTTAACGGGCACATCCTAACAGGGAACAATCGGAGCTTGGAAGAACAGCTTGGTTTAACTAGACGCTTGTCTAAATCCTGAGAAATCGTCTTTGCCCTTGAAGCTTCATTCTGTGTTTATTACATCTGAGTAAAGTTGATTTATATCTAGTATGTTCTTCCGGGTTGAGATTTTGTTGTCTAAGAGAATTCCAGATGCTGACAACATCTGAATATACAGCTCCAATGATCTTATCTTTATCTTTTCCACCATTTATCAAGAAGTAAATGTATTGAATGACTCGTCTATTTGTTGGGAGGATTCGTTAAATCTAGGAGAGGTGGTAATCCGCAATATTTTGTCTCTCCATGAAATCTTCTGTAGAAACCCGCACTATTCTTCTTTCTCCCCATTGTTCAAATCTGAAATGTCTTTGTCACAAATACCACATAGATATGGTTTCTCTCCAGTATGACATCTCAGGTGTATCTTTAATTTAGAACTACTGGCAAAACCTTTCTGACAAATACTGCAAATAAAAGGTTTCTCTCCAGTATGAGATCTCATGTGTGTTTTTAGGTTGGCCTTCAGAGTGTGAGAAATCATGTGGCTTTTCAAGTTATCAGCTCGGCTAAATCCTTTCTTACAAATATCACATGAATATGGTTTCTCTCCAGTATGAGATCTCATGTGTGTTTTTAGGTTGGCCTTCAGAGCGAATCCTTTGTCACAAGTACTGCAAGTGAAAGGTTTCTCCTGAGTGTGAGAGTTCATGTGGCTCTTTAGACTACTAGTAAAACTAAATGCTTTATCACAAATATCACATGAATATGGTTTCTCTCCAGTATGAGATCTCAGGTGTATATTCAGGGAAGATTTATATCTAAACATCTTATTACAAATACTGCAGGGATGTGTTTTCTCTCCAGATTTAGAATTATCATCCATGATGGAATCAGATTAAATTTTAAATAAGATGATTAAAAATCTGTAGTTTTCTTTTCTTCAATCTCAAGATTTTTAAACAGAATAGGAATTCTTATTTTACAGGTTTGCTGTCTCCAATCTAAATATATCTGAAAAAGTAGAATTTTATTTTAAAATGTTCTTCAAATGTTACTAAATGCATTATCATATTATTTAAATAAATAAATTAAGTTTTTGCCTTACACAAAATAAACTCTGTTCAATCAAATAAGTTTAGTTTTGAATTATCATAGGTTTACACCATCAGGTTGCAAAGTTATAAGGATTAGAAAATTTGAGTTTGTGGAATAAAAACTCAATTTCTTAACATTTTTATATCTAGATAATAATAGAGTAATCAGTCTTCATCCTGATTAGGGAAATGTCAAGATTTTTTGTCATTAAAAATCGATATGAAGAAACAGAATATTGAAAACATGTTCTTGTCATCTATAAAAATCCGGAATTTGAGAAAAATTGTAAAACCAATAATATACAAGTGCTTCTAAATATGCAGTAGTTGATGCCAGAGCCACAGTTTAACCGAAATAATGACGTTTTCAATATTTTTGGTATTCTCTTGAAATCAACTAAAAAAATGATGTTCTATTTATTTATGGCATTTTTTTTGCAAGGGTGTCACTTTAAAATCTTCATTGCGAGGTCTGCTCAATTCAAATATCTGTTTTTGATACAGTTACAACCAGAAAACTCTGAGATAGGAAGACAACTATATAACAATACATAGCTACTGACATTTCCCACGCCCCTCCCATTAAAAAAAAGGCCTTAGAGAATAGGTATAGAATTAAAATGCATAATCATAGACCAATTTTTCAACGCCAGCTCATTTAATAATATAATTTTTAGATCTGTAGCTTTAGTCTAACAAAAGAGTTATAAGGGCCATTTTAGATTTTTTTTTACACAGACCGGACTTTTTATCGCCCTGTACCCTACCCTATGCATTAAAAAAAATTGACAGAAAAATCCTTTAGATTAACTATTCATTAAAAGTCACAAAATTTCACGGTAATAGTGACAAAAATGAGAGTGCTAGGACAAAAAAACTATAGGGCCGGCCAAGCCTGTTTAGGGTTAAAAGCTAAAATAGTTAATGGGTGAGGCCTAGTTTTTATTCAACTTCTTTAAATAAATTAGTAAAAAAAATACTCTACAGATTGACCCCGAAAAGTAAAACGTATTCAATGACCTCTTCAAATGACAAGTTTATGATGTACAAGGGGTTGTACAATTTTCAGCTTTACAGTCTGCATGAACAATCTATTCTAATTTATCTAGGGTTATCACTTATTAAGTGAAATGGGTCTGTTTACACTGGACAATTGCTGTATATCGTGCTGATTGGACTATTTAAAGTCCTAACTTGAGATTAAAAGTCGTCTTTCTATATTAGAGTTTTCTGGTTATCACTGTGTTTTTTGCTGCAATCTTCATTGTCTACATCATTATAATGAAGACGACTTTCTATTTTAATTTTGATTATTGTCAAGTTTTCAAACAGTAAGGATACACATAAGCATGGAAACAAAGAGAAGCTGGCAATTAACATCTTCTCTTTGTTTACTTGTAGACTTGTAATTTGAAAACGGCTCGTTAGTAATCAAAACTTATTTAGAAAAGTCGTCTTAATTGTGTTGTTATAAATACAACCACTGTTATAAGGGAAACTCCCTCATTGACATTTCAAGTACGCCCTGCAAACATTTAGTCTCCGTCGAACATCATAAGTCCAGAATTATTTACCAGACATCTTCGCTATCGGATATATAGTCGGTTTAAATGTTTCCTGGGTTAGCAACGGAAAACAACCAAAATATTAACGTTTTACATACTTTCAGCAATGGAAATCAACAAACATAATACAAATATCGTTCGTACTGCATTTTGGTATGAAATAATATTTTGATTCCGAAGGGAAATCAATCAAAATATGGACATTCTAGGTAATAGGTATTTTTATCAATTGAAATCAACCAACATATTGTTTAAGTATTATTAGCAAGGGAAATCAACTTGAATATTGACATTTTTAGTTCTTTTTTGCAATAAATCAAAATATTTGTAGCACAAGATAACAACCAAAACAATGACGTTTTAATAACTTTATCAATGGAAATTAACCAAAATAATGACATATTAGCTTAGCTATTTATTGCAATGGATATCAACCAAAAATAATGAATGTTTTTAGCAAATTAAACACCAAAATAATGACATTTTAATTAATTTCACTAATGGAAATCAACCAGAACATTAATAGCATTGTCAGCTATGATAATCAACCAAAGCATTGAAATTTTAATATTTATAGCAATGGAAATCAACCAGAACGTTAATAGCATTTTTAGCTATGATAATCAACCAAAACATTGAAATTTCAATATCTATAGCACTGGAAATTAATCAAAATATTATATCTGAGTAGTTTTAGCTCTGAAAATCAACCAAAATAATGGTGGTTAAATATTCACATTTTACAAAAAGCAATGAAAATAATCAAAGTTCTGACGTTGTCAGTATTTTTACCATGGAATTCAACAAAAACAATGAAACATTTAAAAGTGGAAGATTCTTCTTTTAACATCATCCTAAAGATATAAGATTCTGCTGTTAACAGCGTCCTTAAGATAAAATATTCTTCTTTTAACTGCATCCTAAATATGGAAGATTCTTCTTTTAACATTATTAATACAGATAAAAGATTCTTATTTTAACCGCATCCTAAATATAAAAGATTCTTGTTTTGACATCATCTTCAGATAGAAGATTCTTCTTTTAACATCATTTTAAGGCAGAAGATTCTTCTTTTAACATCATTTTAAGATAGAAGATTCTTGTTTTAACATCATCTTAAGATAGAAGATTCTTCTTTTAACATCATTTTAAGATAGAAGATTCTTCTTTTAACAT